GAAAGAATTTCTACCGGAAATTATCAAACAAGCAGATACGTAACAGTTCGTAATAAGCGCTATTCTGTAAACAAGTGAAACACTTAATCATCTCTTATTGAATTTATCGCTCAAGAAAATAAAATTAATAGGCGTAAGCAATGATTCTGACATTACTGCTTCACTGCTATTGCTAACAACATGGCCCATTGCTCGATGACGAAGTGCAGGAATAACTGGCGTTATAAAAAACAAAAACAAGTGTGAAACGACACACAAAACGTTTTGTTACGTATCTGCTTACTTGTTTGTTCCCGATAAATTGTCAGTCTAGTTTTATTTTTGTTTTTTACTGGTGAGGGTACGCCAGCGGTGTTGTGCAAATTAACTTTCAAAAAGCTTTTTTTTTTTATTTTGCGCAAAGTTACTCAAGGGCTATTTGCACTAACCGTTCGTAATTTTGAAGTGATAGACTATAGGGAAGGCAGCTAGCCAACATCACCCACCACCAACACTTGGTTTATTCTTTATCAACCAATAGTAGCATTGACCATTATATTATAACGCCCTTACGGCTGAAAATATGAGCGTGTTGAATTATGGGATTCACATCCACGACCAGTAGATTGAAAGTCAAACGTCCTAAGTCCACCAGGCCTATTCTAAACACTTGATGGGTTTCTCAAAACGATTAATTATAGTAATTTGGATGCTTATGAAATTGGTGGAAATTTTTCGAGGTTGATAAAAAAACTGACTGTGTGGCGCAAAACAAAGTAATGATAAATGGATGTTTTCAAATTGGGAGGATGTGAATAGTGGGGCCCCTCAGCTGGATGTTTTCAGGCATTATTTATTTATTCTTTATTCTAATCTTAGGATAGTTCTTGGAAGGCAATATTTTCAAGTTTACTTGTGAAACTAAAATGTGAAGAACTTTTTCTACTGAGAGCTTTAAATGTTTCTCTTATTCAAAAGACATTAGCAATCTTGAGACTGGGCCAAAATAAAGAAACTGAAGTGAGAGGCATAGTTATAACTTGGGGCATGACAAGTTGAAAAGGATCTGTTTCATGCAGTGGCGTAGCTACCATATATGTTCAAGCATCCACATTATGTTCACATTTTCTAAAAGATATATAATATATATTTAATGTATAAACATATAATATATAGATATAGAAAAGTAATATTATTCCATTGTTTCATTCACATTTTGTTTCAATATATATCTCTGGTTATAACGACACTTATATTGCCATATACACATATATCTCAACATTACACATCATCTTGTATACTAGTAATGGTAGACAGACTGACTTTGGCCCGCTTACTAAGGCTGATATATATGTCTCCATAGCTGCAGTATGTAACGTGCTGTCAGCTATAAGCCAAACGTTCAACTGACTCTCAAACATTATGAAATAAATAACACTGAACAGCAAACAATTTCCTACTTGAGAAACCTCAAGTGATTGTGGTAATTTGATGGTGCTGATTTCAAAAATGCAGCCAGAACTTCTCCATCGCCTCTAGTTTTTGAGTTATTATAATATTTTATCAGCAATATGTGAAACACCATGCAATCAACTCAGTAGTGTGTAGGCTTAACCATCGCAACAGAAGAAATACTCTCCTTCCATGAACATGACACCAACTATAAAATCCACGCTGTACATAGGATCATTTAAAAAAAGGAAAGTCTTCTCTCTCTACATGAAAATTGTTACCAACTCCAGGAAAACTGCAGGTTACATACTCTCCCGTGGATGCTTCTATCACTTCTTTCACTTCAAACCAGAGAAACCACACCGGAAACCACGTCCACCTTCTACACATATCACTACAGTTTCGCCTATCTCACCACTTCTACTCAACAACTAATGCTAGACCAAAGAAATCAACCTCAGATCAATATATACAAACCAACCTACCGCTTTTCCGAGCCTCTTCCAACATGACAGAATCAATCATACTAGCAGGCCAAGCTGCTCAGACTAAAAAGTTCCAAAGGAGTAAAATCAACTCAGACCCAGCCGCCTACCGAGCCCCCCCCCCCACAATTCTAATTTCACC